GTTTCGGAAGTGGTTCGCCAGTGCCTCCTTCCTAGAGCAGAGCCCAGCTGGCGAGTGCAGGAGGTGGGGTTTCCGTTGCTTCGCGCCCTTTTCGGGTGAGCGCGGTTGCGCTACCTGGCAACTGCTCCCAACTCCTTTTGCAAGGCGCCGCCAGCATTTTTCCTCCCACCGGAGTGAGAGTACCCATTTATCTACTCACATGAGTTTTCAAACTGTTGGGTTGACAGGAACTGGGGGTTCAAGCAAGAGCTCACTCTGCTACGCAGAAGGCTGCTCGAACCGCTGAAGCATCGACCATTTCTGGCCGGCAACTTTCAGTGTCATTAAGCCGCTGCGCCACCGCGTCCCCCATTATACAAACAATGCAAACATTAAAAACAATTAAACAATTAAAAGCCATACAATACAATCACTGGGAAAGCACAGCTGCTCAAGAAGAGTACAGCCATTTTATGAGCTCCACATCATTCTCTGACCCCCAGGCAAGATGGCAAGGCCATGTCTTCAGGCCCTTCCAGAAGGCCATCAAGGTCAGAGCCAGCCTGACCTCAGGGGGAATGATGTTCCATGGGGTGGGTGCAGCAGCAGAAAAGGCTCTCCTCCTGAGTCCCACAGATGGCACTCACTAGTGGACGGAACCCACAACAAGCCTCTTCTGCTGGACCTGATGGGATGGGTAGATGTTACTGGGGAGTAACATCTCAAATAACCCGGCCCCATGGCATGTGGGGCTTCATATATTATTACCAGCACCTTGAATGGATCTGGAGGCAAATTGTTAACCAATGCAACTCTTGGAGCAGAGGTGTAACATGTGCACAGATCTAGGTGCACACATAACTGCCTGCGCCACTGCATTTTGCACCAATGAAGCTTCTGAATACTCTTCAAGGGCAGCCCCATGTAGAGTACATTAATCCATACCAGAGGTGACCAGGATATGAGTGACTGAGCATAGAGCCTCCTGATCCAGGAATGGGTGCAATGAGTCCAGAAGCACCCCCAGATTGCATACCCCATCCAGAACCAAAGATGGTAAATTCCTAAATTGAGGTGGCCCCAAAATCCAAAGCCACTCCGTCTTGCCAGGGTTGAGCCAAAATCTGTTGTTTCCCATCCAAACCCC